GAGTTGAAGTCCACCCATCTTGAAGTTGCTGAGGTTGAGAAACGCTGGCCTAGGCAATCAGACCACTGTTCAGCCAGTGTTGGTTTAGTCTGGGTGGATGGGGAGAAAATCACTCATCCCCTTTTTTCCAACTCCCAGGCCCTTCCTCCCCTCGCGCCCAAGCATGGCACAAACATGTCTTGGCAGCATCTTTGCTGCATCCTTCATCCCATGAGTGGGACGGCCCGAGCAGTCGTTCTCAGCCGTCCCAACGCTGAAGTGTGCTTCTCCGTGCTTTATTCCAACGCTCTGCAGGACAGCCTCCAGAACCCATGAGGCTTTCTCAGACAGGTGAGTGCAATGATGTGAAACAGAGGGAAAGATAAGGATCGACCATGCGGAGGGCAAATTGCGCACTAGTATAGTTTCCCAGCATCTCGAGGACGGTTGGAAAGGCTCTTAAAGTTCAAAGGCATCATTCCTTACTTATTGGTCTCCCCAGCACTTGCCCCCTCCCAACGTGATCCATTACCCTTAGCAACATAGATCGAGGATTCTTTACTTACTTCACATATGCAGTAAATATCCGTCGTATGGTCTGATTCGACCTGGGTTGAGAAGAGTATTTCACTTGTTATTAACCATAGGAATTCTTAGGCTTAGCAAGTGCATTAGTGCTCAATTGTCTGGATTTTAAAAACCGGATCAATGCTCTAATTCCATGTTCCTAAGACCCAGGAATACCACCTGTTTTCAAAGCAGCATTGTATGCTTCTTTTCTTATGCCCTTCAGTTCTCTGACTCTGAAGTTTTGATTCCGGTTTAAAGGGCGTTGTCTTTCTGTCCCTTATCTGAAAGGCACCAGTATTTTAGAGTAAGATCTTTATACCGGAACCAAGATTTTTTCTTCTTCTTGGTCTCTGCTCCCTGCCTGCTTTCTTCTGTTGTCCAGTCTTACATAGTTACGTCTAATAGTGATTAACCCGCTTTTATATTAAGCTTGGTGTTTATGAAATATCCCAGAAATTAAATCATCCAAGGCCTGACCTGTTCAGGTGGGGAAATGTCCACCAAGGGTGGAGATGAAGGTATAGGCAGGGCCATGTCTGGAGTAGAACTCTTGCCATGCTGGCAACAGGCACCTAACAAAGAAGGGAAATTCTCAGCCCCTCCACCATTGAACCCTACGCAAAACTCTTTTTCTAGCACAAGAGAGCCATTTCTGAACATGCCAGTCCTTTCCGAAGTTTATAGACTGAATTCAAAGTTGGGTGAAAAAAGCAGTGATCCTTGGGGCCACTGATTTCTTGGAAAAGCAGGTCATTTTTTTTTAAGCAAGAGAAATGTCATGCTTTAAGGAGGAAGCAAGGTGATTCTAAGGCCTGTGCCAGGGTTCCTTGGAGGAACAAGCAGACATCCGTTTGGGCTTCGAAGGTTGTGCAAGTGGCTGAGTCACATGCAGTCACATACTCCACGCTCCCTCTTGCACACACATACCATGCTCTTCTCCCTCGTTATCGTTCTTTCCACTGCAGTGGAAAACCAGCAGACTGGTTTCCAGCTGCCATTCATTGTGCGTGGGTGTGTATGTGCGTGTGTGCATGTGTGTGGGTATTGTAGGGTGGTGGCCATGGTGAACTGCCTGTGCCAACAGATTAGGTTCATTGACTTCCTTCCATAAATTATAGTAGGATCCTTTGAATCACCTGGCTAATGAGAAAAGTAGACTCACCCTAATTCTGAGCCTTGTGCCTTCAGTCGCCAAAGAGATGTTCAATTATCTGGGCAGCTATGGTCTCCAAAACAATTTTCTGCTACTTGAGAACCCTCTCTTGACCAACAGAATAAGGAGTACCGTATCCCTGTGCTACACTGTGAGTTGCATCATTCCCACTGGACCTGTTCTTAAGGAGAAATAGTAGAGGGGGAAGGAGCAGATTCCTCATCAGAGCTCTACAGTGCTTGAAATAATGGCCATGGCCATTGTAATTGCTCAGAGAAAGACTGAGGCAACCAGCTGTGGTCTTCCAGAGATGGAGAATGTTCTGCATCAGCTGTAGGTCTTTCCTCCCTGGTGCTCACAAGGCACCTGCTCCAATCGAGCAGCGATGGGTCATGAAAAGAATAGCCCAGAGATTCATCTGTTTTTCTGATCATCTGCCCGATAAGAAGAAGGCCCTAAATGCAACTGGGAGGGTTGCGCAACAAGGACAGTCCAAGGGAAAGGCACCACATGATGTGGGAGTTGCGTCAATTCACAATGGAGCAAAGCATGACAGAGATGTTCTTGTCGGTTAACCCAAGCCTACCCAAACAGAAGAAATGTCTCCAATTTTTGCAGGTCCCCAAAATCATCTCCATCCAAGAAATAAATAAAGTTTCCAGCCATCTCCCCTTCTTTAATTAAGATTCCTGAGTCCCCATGCGCTTCCTGCTCCCTTTATTCATTGTCAGTCCCCTGCCCCAGCACTAGAAGCCAGGATTCCAGAATTCCCAGTTTGGAAGGTCTTACTCACGGATTCGGGGGTAAAGTAAGCTTATTATTCCAATCAATCCCAGGACCAACAATAAGATCCCAAAAACAAGCCCAACAATATCTTTTGTTTTCCAGGGTGCTGTCTTTGGAAGAGGAACATCTGAAATAGGAAAAGAGAATGTCTTTTTCAGAAGGAACAGGGCCCTCTGGATCAACGAGGAAATGCTACCCAATGTCTGTATTCACACAACATCTATACAACTAGCAGTTGCATTTGCACAGGATGCTAACCTTGGCTAATGTTAACCTTTATAAGTTTTCTCATGGATTAATGTACTGTGATCAGTAAACTCGACTCATGGAGCAAACCCAATTAATTCAATCACCACATTAAGCACTTCTGGGGAACAGAACCATCCAATGCCACCTTGTTGTAAATGACAAGGACCAAAAGGAGACATAAAGATGCCATGGTTTGTGACACGCAATAAAGCTAAATAGTTACCTAGTTTCAGTGCCATATCTTCAGTTTGGTCTGGGTCAACCGAATCAAGTCCGTCTAGAATGGAAGAATGGTTGAATCAATGTGGAAGCTGGGAATGGTCCCCTGAGTATTAAGACAGGTATGTCCTTTTTAGTCATTGCCCATTTGTAACTTACAGAATCTTCATAGCATCACCCAGTCATCGTTGAAGTAAGATAAAGCCTGTCCTCATTATGTCACTTTATCACAACAGTATCTGATTGACTGCAGATCAGTGTTTCTCAACCTTGGCCACTTTAAGATATGTGGACTTCAACTCCCAGAATTCC